CCTTGGCCTTGGTCTCCTCCTCAGCTATCTTCTTGTCGTAAGCCTCCATAAATGTGTCTACCTCGACCCTCAGGGCCTCTGGGTCTAATAACGACTCTTCATACTCACTGATCCACTTATGAATCCCACTCCTCACAGAGTGGTTCTCCGTAGAAACCAGCAATGGGCCCTTCAGATTCAAGGCAGCAGACACTCCACTTGGCTTCTGGAATATCACATAAGCTACCTGAAAGCCCCTAATGAGCTTCGGGTGAAAAAACTCTGGCTTTGTCTTTAGTGCTCTCAGCATGGTCAGGCTTCTCTTTCAAGTCGACTGTCTTGATGGTGCCACAGGAGGACAGGAGTCGGGACAGGCACTCCTCTGTGCAGTACGGGGTCACATTTAGCACAAAAATGGGAGGCCACGTGGACTGAGTGTCTCCTCGAACTCTGTGCTGTCTCACATACAGGTAATGGGAAGCCTGCTGCTGTTTGGTGAACTTGACATGAATAGCTGAATAACTCAGTGGGCTGGGTGTGCTCCCTTCATGGCCGCAAGCTCCAGCTTTCCTCTTGAGCGCCACCATCGTGTGGACCCAAGCGCAGGCTGTTGTATGTTTTTAAAACCCATGGTTAATAACTGCACCATTATAAAGCATTAGTCTGTCCTTCATGACAATTTTTACAAGTTTTATCTAATTATTGTGTCTATTTTTATATATAACATAATTGCATTATTCCCCACATCTATTTCTCCCCTCTTAAACCTCCAATATGCACCCCCTTCATTTTGTTGAATTTTGTATGTTCATTATGTTTACTGTTGTTAAGTGCATATGAGTTATAAGCTCTCAAGTGAGTCATAAACTTTCATCTGAATATTCAGAGCTAGGAATAACAGAAGAGATATATCATGTCACATTTGTCTTTTTGATCCTTAAGGGCTTGGTTATAATACTCAGTTGGATCTTCTAATAGTGCCTTTCATTTACCTGCAAATATCATGACTTCATTTTTCTTTACCATATAATAAATTTTTATAGATTTCCTACTATCTTAGTATTCATTAAACAGGCATAGAATATTAATATTGTGCCTTTCCAGCTTTTGTGAATAGAGTATAAAGGAACATAGAAGACAAACTATCTATTAAATCATTAAGGTATATTCCAAGGAGCTGTTTAGAGTTGCAATATACATATATAATTTTCAAAATTAAGAAATCTCAACAGGCTTTTCCAGAATTGCAATAAAATTCAGTGATCCCAGAAAAAGATGTCTCTGCACATCTTGTTCAAACTTCATGTGTCTTTCTCTGTCTCTGGTTTTGCCTCTGCTGCTGTCTCTACGTCTCTGTCTCTGTGTGTGTGTGTGTGTGTGTCTGTGTGTGTGTGTGTTATTTTCAAGTGACTCACTTCAGGTACCAGGGCAATTTTGAATCGACTGTGTTTTTCCAATACCTTGTGTTTTAAAAATCTTAAGTTTTTTGGATAGTTATTCACAAGTTGCATATTTTCTTATAGTTGCATAAAGTAACAACTTTGTTTCTGCTGGATGTTATTGAAGAGCATGTGTCTCATGGGATTGTACACTTCATTTATGAACTAGAGGCTACTGATGGCTTAGGGGTAGGAATAACATAGGTCAGCACTATTCTTTCTACAGGTGGGTTCAACGGGGCCTAATAATAAGTTCAAAAGCTAAAGGAACACAAATAGGGCCACAAGTAAAAATTAAAATAAATGATGCATGAAAGGAACTTGTTTGTGTGGATGGAGGTTGACAACATTGTGATGAAGAATTTAGTCATCACAGAATTACCCAAATATTTTCTCTATGTGGGAAATCGAATGCTAACTTTTTTTTTAAAAAAAGGCATGTTACTGGACACAATAGTGACAA